CCATTAACTTAATTAGTTTTCTTTTTCATTTCGTTTTAATGATTTTAGTTTTAAAATTTTGTGATTAAGTTTTATGCTTCATTATCAGAGGAGGACAGTTTAAATTTACATTTTTTTTTCCTTAAAATGGGAGCAATAATCGAATAAAATCTTGAACTCCGGCAGCATGTAAAAAAATATTTGGGTTATTGGAAAGAAAATCCAAAGAAAACTATAAAAAATGCACATATTCAAAGACAAATACATTCCTTCTTTAATTTTTTTTCGGATTTTTTTTCTGTATCCTTAGAGCTACAGGTTTTATTTCTACAATAAGACACAGAAATCTCTGAATGTTTTTATTTCTCTTGACATTTTTTTAATCTTTATGCATATTCTATTTTGGATTGCGTTTTCCAACTTAATGGGAGCATATATTGTTGAGTACTTCTTACATATTTAATAGACTGAGCTTCAATCCCCAAAATCAAAAGTGTGAGAAACAAAACAAGTTAACTTAAGTTATAAATAAATTTACAAAATTTTGCCTTTTTGTAGCTTTTGAAGATTTCATAAAGTTTTCAAAAAATATTTTAAAAATTTTCAGAAAATTTCAAGATTTCTTTAGTAAATTTTTGCAAAATTTGCCTTCTTTAGTAAAATTTTTGCAAAATTTGCCTTCTTTAGTAAAATTTTTGCAAAATTTGCCTTCTTTAGTAAAATTTTTGCAAAATTTGCCTTCTTTAGTTAATTTTTTGCAAAATTTGCCTTCTTTAGTAAAATTTTTGCAAAATTTGCCTTCTTTAGTTAATTTTTTGCAAAATTTGCCTTCTTTAGTAAATTTTCTGCAAAATTTGCCTTCTTTAGTAAATTTTCTGCAAAATTTGCCTTCTTTAGGTAATTTTTTTGCAAAATTTGACTTCTTTAGTAAATTTTCTGCAAAATTTGCCTTCTTTAGTAAATTTTCTGCAAAATTTGACTTCTTTAGTAAATTTTCTGCAAAATTTGCCTTCTTTAGTAAATTTTCTGCAAAATTTGACTTCTTTAGTAAATTTTCTGCAAAATTTGCCTTCTTTAGTAAATTTTCTGCAAATTTTGCCTTCTTTAGTAAATTTTCTGCAAAATTTGCCTTCTTTAGTAAAATTTCTGCAAAATTTGCCTTCTTTAGTAAATTTTCTGCAAAATTTGCCTTCTTTAGTAAATTTTTGCACAATTTGCCTTCTTTAGTAAATTGTTTTGCAAAATTTGCCTTCTTTTGTAAAATTTTTGCAAAATTTGCCTTCTTTAGTAAAATTTTTGCAAAATTTGCCTTCTTTAGTTAAATTTTTGCAAAATTTGCCTTCTTTAGTAAAATTTTTGCAAAATTTGCCTTCTTTAGTTAATTTTTTGCAAAATTTGCCTTCTTTAGTAAATTTTCTGCAAAATTTGCCTTCTTTAGTAAATTTTCTGCAAATTTTGACTTCTTTAGTAAATTTTCTGCAAAATTTGCCTTCTTTAGTAAATTTTCTGCAAAATTTGACTTCTTTAGTAAATTTTCTGCCAAATTTGGCTTCTTTAGTAAATTTTCTGCAAAATTTGCCTTCTTTAGTAAATTTTCTGCAAAATTTGCCTTCTTTAGTAAATTCTCTGCAAAATTTGCCTTCCTTAGTAAATTTTCTGCAAAATTTGCCTTCTTTAGTAAATTTTTCCAAAATTTGCCTTCTTTAGTAAAATTTTTGCAAAATTTGCCTTCTTTAGTAAAATTTTTGCAAAATTTGCCTTCTTTAGTTAAATTTTTGCAAAACTTGCCTTCTTTAGTAAATTTTCTGCAAATTTTGACTTCTTTAGTTAATTTTCTGCAAAATTTGCCTTCTTTAGTAAATTTTCTGCAAAATTTGACTTCTTTAGTAAATTTTTTGCCAAATTTGCCTTCTTTAGTAAATTTTCTGCAAAATTTGCCTTCTTTAGTAAATTTTCTGTAAAATTTGCCTTATTTAGAAAATTTCTGCAAAATTTGCCTTCTTTAGTAAATTTTCTGCAAAATTTGTCTTCTTTAGTAAATTTTTGCAAAATTTGCCTTCTTTAGTAAAATTTTTGCAAAATTTGCCTTCTTTAGTAAAATTTTTGCAAAATTTGACTTCTTTAGTTAATTTTTTGCAAAATTTGACTTCTTTAGTAAATTTCCTGCAAAATTTACTTACTTTAGTAAATTTTCTGCAAAATTTGCCTTCTTTAGTAAATTTTCTGTAAAATTTGCCTTCTTTAGTAAATTTTCTGCAAAATTTGCCTTCTTTAGAAAATTTTCTGCAAAATTTGCCTTCTTTAGTAAATTTCCTGCAAAATTTACTTTCTTTAGTAAATTTTCTGCAAAATTTACTTTCTTTAGTAAATTTTCTGCAAAATTTGCCTTCTTTAGTAAATTTCTGCAAAATTTGCCTTGTTTAGTAAATTTTCTGCAAAATTTACTTTCTTTAGTAAATTTTCTGCAAAATTTGCCTTCTTTAGTAAATTGTTTTGCAAAATTTGCCTTCTTTAGTAAATTGTTTTGCAAAATTTACCTTATTTAGTAAATTTTTTGCAAAATTTGCCTTCTTTAGTAAATTTTTGCACAATTTGCCTTCTTTAGTAAATTTTCTGCAAAATTTGCCTTCTTTAGTAAATTGTTTTGCAAAATTTGCTTCTTTAGTAAAATTTCTGCAAAATTTGCCTTCTTTAGTAAATTTTCTGCAAAATTTGACTTCTTCAGTAAATTTTCTGCAAAATTTGATTTCTTTAGTAAATTTTCTGCAAAATTTGCCTTCTTTAGTAAATTTTCTGCAAAATTTGCCTTCTTTAATAAATTTTCTGCAAAATTTGCCTTCTTTAGTAAAATTTCTGCAAAATTTGCCTTCTTTAGTAAATTTTCTGCAAAATTTGCCTTCTTTAGTAAAGTTTTGCACAATTTGCCTTCTTTAGTAAATTGTTTTGAAAAATTTTCCTTCTTTAGTAAATTTTTGCAAAATTTGCTTTCTGTAGTAAGTTTTTGCAAAATTTGCCTTCTTTAGTAAATTTTTTGCAAAATTTACCTTCTTTAGTAAATTTTCTGCAAAATTTGCCTTCTTTAGTAAATTTTCTGCAAAATTTGCCTTCTTTAGTAAATTTTCTGCAACATTTGCCTTCTTTAGTAAATTTTCTGCAAAATTTGCCTTCTTTAGTAAAATTTCTGCAAAATTTGCCTTTTTTAGTAAAATTTCTGTAAAATTTGCCTTCTTTTTTAAATTTTCTGCAAATTTTGCTTTCTTTAGTAAATATTTTGAAAAATATGAAGACAATTTTATTTCCTTATTTCCTTCAATAATTTATCATATTTATTTGCTTTAGCGAAAAAAAATAGCAGTTGTCAAACGTGTTGAAATTTATATTTCTCCCCCTTAACAAAATTAAAATTATTTATGAAATATATGTTGATTAAACAAAAGTACGTGTAATAAATAATAAATGTCCCATGCAAAAATTTGAAATATAATATTTCATTTTCAACTGTTAACAGATTGTCGCCGTTGTCTACTTTTCACACTGAACGACGATTGATTGGTTAGCCTTACAAACGGCAACAGTCAATTAATCCAAGACAAATTAATGACCATACCAACTGAAATATTTCATGTATATTTAATAGGCAACAAGACAGAAACAAATGTAAAGTGAAGTATAAACAAATGTTCACAAAATACATACAAACATACTTACTTATACATATATGTATGTATGTAGGTAAAATTGTATTGGTAATCAAGGATAAGTAAAAAGGAAAACATAAGGTCAATATACAATTACATATCCTTAAATATCCTAGAATTCTCACACTTATTAAAGTTATTGGAGCTTTCAGGCGAGTATTTTGGTATAACACATACCACCCACTTTTTTCCCTTAGGCCGCCTACCATCAACTTATAATACGTGTACATATTCTCTCATCTAGTAATGACATGAATTTATTTTATATATTTCTTACAATTTTCTTAATATTCCTCTTAGAAAAACGAACGAAACAGGAAGTCAAAGAATACAGTATAGTCATCATCATTTAACACCCTCTTGCCTGTTGGAGCAAGTTGGTCGACCAGCTGGCTAAGGACTAGTGTAATTTGTTAAATAAACTATAAACATATTTATGTTTTTTTATTTACTTGTAAATACTACTACTGCCTTTAATGCCCCGATATAGAGGGATTGCTTTAAGACAGTTGTAATGTCTGGGGAGTGGAAGGGGGTTGGGCAAATGACGCAGTTGGGTATGAAGGACATGGTGTTGGAAAGAAGGAGGGATAACAATAGTATAATAAATTATGCATTAGTTGCGTACAATTGGCCTTTAATAAAGTTTCAAGTAGAAAATAGTAAAGAAAGCTAAATTTTACAAAAATTTACTATAAAAAGGGTATTGGGTACAAAATTTACTGGATATGTTTTACTTAAGAGATTAAAACTTTTGCAGAAAATAATCTAAATCTGAAGAAAATTTAATAAAAACAGGTCAAGAAATAATAAACCGAATTCAACAGAAATAGAAAAGTAGCAATCTTGAAAATTTCGACCTGTAGCGTACGCACAAGGATTACATGGACAAACAGACGGACAGACAGACATATAGACGGACAGACAGACAGACAGACGGACATAATTTAATTGACTCAGAATGTGATTCTGAACCGATTGGTATAAGGTGGGTGTTACAAACTTCAGTACAAACGCATAATACTCTTTACACTATAGTGAAGGGTATAAAAATTTATAAAATTTTCCAAAAAAAAAAAAATCCTAAAAAAATTATTGCAGAAAATTGCAGGAAATTGACCAAAGAAAGCAAATTTTGCAAAGAAAAATTATAAAAATATGAAATTTTCCAAAAAATACTGAAAATAACTGAATACTGAATAGAAATTAATCTTTATAACCCTTGTCATTTTCATATCATATTTATTAACCCTTTTCAAAAATGAAACCTCTCAAAAATCTTAAAATTTTAACATTAAAAAGAGAAAAAACAAATAAACTTACCACTACGTTTCTGCACCATATTGTGACCATACAGACGACTTAAATCGATGGCTTTGACATTGACCACAAACAGCATAATGGCTATAAAAAGTGGCCAGGTTAAACGCCACATCAGCAACGACATTTTGTATTAAAGTTCCTTCTTAATACAATAATTAATTTTACTTCTTCCAAACAGAAGAGAAGAAAGGAAAACTTAACACAACAAAGAATTAAAAGGTAAACGACTTTGTGAACGAAAAAAATAAATATTTTTTTTGCACTTAAACACTTGCTGAACTTGAAAATCAAAAGAAATCGTAACAACAAATGACTTCTTTTCAGTCAAAAGAAAAGAAACTAAATGAGTGTTTTACACTTGTCTTAAGTCTGTTGTTATTTGAGTGAGAGGAAAAAAGGAGAAAGGAAAAAAATTAAAGTAAAATAAAAAGTTTTTTTTTTCTTGAATTTATCACAACTTATTGGTTTTTAAGGTTTCTTGTTTATTAGTTTTTTCACATAAACACCCTTTTAAGACGAAGCAGCATTACTTATGTCATTAACACTTACAAACACTCATACACAGTTTAAAGAGTAGAGAGATTATTTATGCTGCTTAGTCCTTTATTTGTAAATACACCAAATCTGTTTCCTTTTCTTGTTTTGTACTTATTTTTAAATTTGTTATATTTGTGTTACTAAAATGTTTTTGTTTTAAAGCAAGAAATGTAGAGATTTTGTGTTAAATTAAAACTTGAATATGTATGATATGTTTCGTTACAATTGGTTGTTTGTTGGAGTTCGTAGTTACATTGTTGTTATTTGTTGTTTAAAATCTGTAAAGAAAGATTATGGAAAGTTAGTTAAATATTGCAAAAATCACATGAGTTTCAGAAATTGTTACTTTTTAGTTGGAAAAAGTGTATATTTTCTTTGTAGGAAATCAAAAAAATTTGTTACAGAGCCTGTAAGTAGGCAATGTGTTTTAAAATGAACCCAATTTCAACTTGCAGGTAGGCAACAGTTTTTGATTTTTTTAAATCCTAAAAATATGCAATTTTTACTAAAGAACCCACTAAACAATTTTTGCCGAATTCGTAACGAATTCGTACCGACAGTCTGCACAAGTTGCCGATTTCGTATCCGAATTCCGTCAGAATTCGTTACGAAAATCGTATGAAAGGTTTGCTCGGAATTCGGAACTCTTTGTCTGAGGAAATTCGGAAAAATGTGCAGAGTTGTCGGTCAGAATTCGGTACGAAATCTGATGTAACTTCCCGGGGAAATTCTGTAGGAATTTTCGACAAATCTTATTGAAGTCGGACAAATGTCTGATACCATGTCTGACATTCTTTCGACATCTCGTACGAAAGTCTAATCAAATATAAGAAAGTCTGATAGATGTCTGATAAATGTCTGATAAAATTTCCGACAGTTCGTACAAAAGTCTGATCAAGTATAAGAAAATGGGCTGACTATTCTGATCAACGTCTGATGAAAACTATTTTCATATATATAATTTATTATGGTTTGATTTTATTAATTTTAATAATAATTTATAAGCTTCCATTATTCATGATTTCTTAAGGGTACATAAAAAAATAATAGAAACTTATAGATTAATTTTAAAATTAATAAAATAGTATGGTTTACTATTTACATATTATATACGAAAATAGAGTTCATTACATACATCTATTTGAAATTATAAAATGAAACCATAAAAAATTATGTAATTTTTTGCTAATTTTTGTATATTAACAAAGTTTAATGAAATTTAAACAATAATTATCACATATGCAGATGTTGTTTACTTGATTTACAAAGACCAACTGAGAAAATAAAAGAAAAGAAACATAAATTCCCTTTTAAAGTACAGATGACGAATTTCAAAATATAAACAAGTTTGTGCATGATTTTTATTAAAAACAAAACAAAATTTCCTTCAGATAATCTGCAGAGTTGTCGCAAAGTTTTCTTACAAAAGCACTGAAAATGGGAACAAAATGACCGAGCTAAAAATATCAGAAAATGTGCAGACTATTCTGTTAAATATCTAAAGGAAATGTATATTATTCGCTTAATTGTCTGACGAAGTTACAAAAACAATTTTCTTCAGATTATGTGCAGATTTATCGGATATAATTCTTAAGCCATTTTATATTTTACTTCAGAAAATGTACAGACTATTCTCCTTTATGTCTAAAAAATAATATAGGAATAAAAAAACAAATTGTCCTCCGCCAATGTGCAGATTAGTCTCATAATTGTCGTAACACTGAAATTCCCTTTCGACAATATGCAGACAAGTCTGATGTTAATCGTTTAATACTTCAGAAAATGTGCAGAAAAGTCTAACAAACAGTTTGCCGATTATTCTGTAAAATGTCTAAAAGAAAATTTAGAAATTCGTTAAAAATTCTGATAAAGTATAAGAATTATTTCAGAAAATTTCTGACATCAGACATGTCTGAAAAAATTGTTTACTGGGAAGGGACGTTTTTCAAACATTTACTATAGAAAGGAAATTTTTGGAAAAATTTTACTAAAGAGAGGAAATTTTCCAAAAAATTACTAACGAAAGAAAATTTTCCGAAAACTTACTAAAGAATAGAAATTTTCCAAAAATTTCCTAAAGAAATGAAATTTTTCAAAAATTTCCTAAAGAAATGAAATTTTTCAAAAATTTCCTAAAGAAATTAAATTTTTCAAAAATTTCCTAAAGAAAGGAAACTTTTCAAAAATTTCCTAAAGAAAGGAAACTTTCCAAAAATTTCCTAAAGAAAGGAAATTTTCCAAAAATTTCCTAAAGAAAGGAAATTTTCCAAAAATTTCCTAAAGAAAGGAAATTTTCCAAAAATTTCCTAAAGAAAGGAAATTTTCCAAAAATTTCCTAAAGAAAGGAAATTTTCCAAAAATTTCCTAAAGAAAGGAAATTTTTCAAAAATTTACTAAAGAAAAGCAAATTTTTCCGAAAATTTATTAAAGAAAAGCTGATTTTGCCGAAAATTTACTAAAGAAGAGCTAATTTTCCCGAAAATTTAGTAAAGAAAAGCAACTTTTCCCAAAAATTTTCGGAAAATTTACTAAAAAAAGAAAATTTTCGGAAAATTTACTAAAAAAAAGAAAATTTTCGGAAAATTTACTAAAAAAAAGAAAATTTTCGGAAAATTTACTAAAAAAAAAGAAAATTTTCGGAAAATTTACTAAAAAAAGAAAATTTTCGGAAAATTTACTAAAAAAAAGAAAATTTTCGGAAAATTTTCTAAAAAAAAAAGAAAATTTTTCGAAAATTTACTAAGAAAAAGCAAATTTTCGGAAAATTTACTAAAGAAATGCAAATTTTCGGAAAATTTACTAAAGAAAAGCAAATTTTCGGAAAATTTACTAAAGAAAAGCAAATTTTCGGAAAATTTACTAAAGAAGAGCTAATTTTCGGAAAATTTACTAAAGAAAAGCAAATTTTCCCAAAAATTTTCGGAAAATTTACTAAAAAAAGAAAATTTTCGGAAAATTTACTAAAAAAAGAAAATTTTCGGAAAATTTACTAAAAAAAGAAAATTTTCGGAAAATTTACTAAAAAAAGAAAATTTTCGGAAAATTTACTAAAAAAAAGAAAATTTTCGGAAAATTTACTAAAAAAAGAAAATTTTCGGAAAATTTACTAAAAAAAAGAAAATTTTCGGAAAATTTACTAAAAAAAAGAAAATTTTCGGAAAATTTACTAAAAAAAAGAAAATTTTCGGAAAATTTACTAAAAAAAAGAAAATTTTCGGAAATTTTCTAAAAAAAAAAAGAAAATTTTTCGAAAATTTACTAAGAAAAAGCAAATTTTCGGAAAATTTAAAGAAAAAGCAAATTTTCGGAAAATTTACTAAGAAAAAGCAAATTTTCGGAAAATTACTAAAGAAAAGCAAAATTTTCGGAAAATTTACTAAAGAAAAGCAAATTTTCGGAAAATTTACTAAAGAAAAGCAAATTTCGGAAAATTTACTAAAGAAAAGCAAATTTTCGGAAAATTTACTAAAGAAAAGCAAATTTTCGGAAAATTTACTAAAGAAAAGCAAATTTTCGGAAAATTTACTAAAGAAAAGCAAATTTTCGGAAAATTACTAAAGAAAGCAAATTTTCGGAAAATTTACTAAAGAAAAGCAAATTTTCGGAAAATTTACTAAAGAAAAGCAAATTTTCGGAAAATTTACTAAAGAAAAGCAAATTTTCGGAAAATTTACTAAAGAAAAGCAAATTTTCGGAAAATTTACTAAAGAAAAGCAAATTTTCTGAAAATTTACTAAAGAAAAGCAAATTTTCGGAAAATTTACTAAAGTAAAGCAAATTTTCGGAAAATTTACTAAAGAAAAGCAAATTTTCGGAAAATTTACTAAAGAAAAGCGAATTTTCAGGGAAAATTTACTAAAGAAAAGCGAATTTTCAGGGAAAATTTACTAAAGAAAAGCGAATTTTCAGGGAAAATTTACTAAAGAAAAGCGAATTTTCAGGGAAAATTTACTAAAGAAAAGCGAATTTTCAGGGAAAATTTACTAAAGAAAAGCAAATTTTCAGGGAAAATTTACTAAAGAAAAGCAAATTTTCGGAAAATTTACTAAAGAAAAGCAAATTTTCGGAAAATTTACTAAAGAAAAGCAAATTTTCGGAAAATTTACTAAAGAAAAGCAAATTTTCGGAAAATTTACTAAAGAAAAGCAAATTTTCGGAAAATTTACTAAAGAAATGCAAATTTTCGGAAAATTTACTAAAGAAATGCAAATTTTCGGAAAATTTACTAAAGAAATGCAAATTTTCGGAAAATTTACTAAAGAAATGCAAATTTTCGGAAAATTTACTAAAGAAATGCAAATTTTCGGAAAATTTACTAAAGAAATGCAAATTTTCGGAAAATTTACTAAAGAATGCAAATTTTCGGAAAATTTACTAAAGAAATGCAAATTTTCGGAAAATTTACTAAAGAAATGCAAATTTTCGGAAAATTTACTAAAGAAAGCAAATTTTCGGAAAATTTACTAAAGAAAAGCAAATTTTCGGAAAATTTACTAAAGAAAAGCAAATTTTCAGAAAATTTACTAAAGAAAAGCAAATTTTCGGAAAATTTACTAAAGAAAAGCAAATTTCGGAAAATTTACTAAAGAAAGCAAATTTTCGGAAAATTTACTAAAGAAAAGCAAATTTTCGGAAAATTTACTAAAGAAAAGCAAATTTTCGGAAAATTTACTAAAGAAAAGCAAATTTTCGGAAAATTTACTAAAGAAAAGCAAATTTTCGGAAAATTTACTAAAGAAAAGCAAATTTTCGGAAAATTTACTAAAGAAAAGCAATTTTCGGAAAATTTACTAAAGAAAGCAAATTTTCGGAAAATTTACTAAAGAAAAGCAAATTTTCGGAAAATTTACTAAAGAAAAGCAAATTTCTGAAAATTTACTAAAGAAAAGCAAATTTTCGGAAAATTTACTAAAGTAAAGCAAATTTTCGGAAAATTTACTAAAGAAAAGCAAATTTTCGGAAAATTTACTAAAGAAAAGCAAATTTTCGGAAAATTACTAAAGAAATGCAAATTTTCGGAAAATTTACTAAAGAAATGCAAATTTTCGGAAATAAAAAATTTCGGAAAATTTACTAAAGAAATGCAAATTTTCGGAAAATTTACTAAAGAAATGCAAATTTTCGGAAAATTTACTAAAGAAATGCAAATTTTCGGAAAATTTACTAAAGAAATGCAAATTTTCGGAAAATTTACTAAAGAAATGCAAATTTTCGGAAAATTTACTAAAGAAATGCAAATTTTCGGAAAATTTACTAAAGAAATGCAAATTTTCGGAAA